GTGTCTCTGTGTGTCTCTGTGTGTCGCTGTGTGTCGCTGTGTGTCTCTGTGTGTCTCTGTGTGTCTCTGTGTGTCTCTGTGTGCCTCTGTGTGTCTCTGTGTGTCTCTGTGTGTCTCTGTGTGTCTCTGTGTGTCTCTGTGTGTCTCTGTGTGTCGCTGTGTGTCTCTGTGTGTCTCTCTGTGTGTCTCTGTGTGTCTCTGTGTGTCTCTGTGTGTCTCTGTGTGTCTCTGTGTGTGTCTCTGTGTGTGTCTCTGTGTGTGTCTCTGTGTGTCTCTGTGTGTGTCTCTGTGTGTCTCTGTGTGTCTCTGTGTGTCTCTGTGTGTCTCTGTGTGTCTGTGTGTGTCTCTGTGTCTCTGTGTCTCTGTGTGTGTCTCTGTGTCTCTGTGTGTGTCTCTGTGTGTGTGTCTCTGTGTCTCTGTGTGTCTCTGTGTCTCTGTGTGTCTCTGTGTGTGTGTGTCTCTGTGTGTGTGTGTCTCTGTGTGTGTCTGTGTGTGTCTGTGTGTCTCTGTGTGTGTGTGTCTCTGTGTGTCTCTGTGTGTCTCTGTGTGTGTGTGTCTCTGTGTGTGTGTGTCTCTGTGTGTCTCTGTGTGTCTCTGTGTGTGTCTCTGTGTGTGTCGGTGTGTGTGTCTCTGTGTGTGTCTCTGTGTGTGTCTCTGTGTGTGTCTCTGTGTCTCTGTGTCTCTGTGTCTCTGTGTCTCTGTGTCTCTGTGTCTCTGGGTCTCTGTGTCTCTGTGTGTCTGTGTGTGTGTGTCGCTGTGTGTGTTTGCGTGTCGCCCAGAACCCCCGGGCGTCGGCCAGAAGGCGACGGCGGTTTCGTTGTCGTGCGGTCTCTCCGCCTCGCAGGGGCATTCTTGTTGGCCCCAGGGTTAGGTCGGGCATGTCCTCCTACAGGCGGATGTGTGAGGAAAATTAAAAGTCAAACAAGTACCCTAACACGATCCAAAAATAGTCAAGAAACCTTCCCCAGACTATATTTTGACTATTCTTGAATATTCTTCTGTAGAGGGACATGCCCCACTTAACCCTAGGGCCATCAAAAAGAGACACACGACGAAACAAAGAAAAACTTTCCCAGAGATTGGGTAATAACACAACGCATGTCTTTCTGCTCCAGCATAGCGGCATGACAACTGTATATAGACAGCGCGGAAGGCTCCACGGGGCAAACTCGCACACAGCATATGCGTCGTATTATTATGTCCGAAACTATCCAGGTGCGTCATTCAAGTGCCCCATAACTACATGAACGCTGCACGCAACAAACTACGATCAAGAAACTAAGGTGGCACATGAAACCTACAAACCAGGGCAACTGCATAGGTTTGCGCGGCCGACTGCATATGCTCTCCCATTGGGGACAATCCGAAAAGCAAGACGATGTCGAGAGTCCCCCGACAATCGCCAAGCACGATCCCAGAAAGCTCATCATACGCTCCGCTGTGCGCTAACATCAATCATAATGCTCTCGCCGAAGTTGGTCTCACAAGACTGCTACTGTATATGATCGCAAAGCTGTCTACAATTGCACGTGCAGAGATGAGAATAAGCCCCCCCCTGTATTCGCTGATCTGCCCCTGTAGACTGCGGACAGCACAATGGGAGACAACAGAGGATGATGCGCGGGAAAGGAGGTAAAGGTACAATGACAAGAAATCCAAAGTTACTGGCGCACGTTTAACTACAACTGCAAGTATAACGGCGACTGCAACGAGAACTAAAACGGTGTTGAGGGCCCGTGTCGGAGCCCTTTGAAACGATGCAAGAGCATCGTCCCTTCGCAATTCATCGACTGCCACCACTGCCTCATACGGTTGTCCTTACTACAACCGAAACCACTACCGCTGGTGCTACTGCTACTGGTACTGTACCGCCCACAACCAGTACTCCTACTAGCTGACTCCTGCGAAGGCAACTTCAAGCCAACTCCTCACAACAAGTTACGATAAACGGCCCTATCACCTCTACAACTTCCTCTCGCATTCCGAACCCTATACACGACCAGAGCCTCACGAGACACCGCCACGCTTGCTGGCTCCGCTTGAGCCGATTGGTAGTACACTCTCCCTCCAGCGTGCCTGCGTGTTGCATGCGGTGCGTGCGTTTCAGAAGGCAGCCTCTGTACCCCGGCAAGGCTTCCCTCCGAACGTCGCCCCTGATCTTCGAGACAAGACTGGGCTCTCTGGTGGCCGCTGGGGACGGTCGGGGCGCCCCCGGAACGCTGCCGGCGAGGCGCAGCTGCCGCAACGCATCCCCCGAGGCTGGCAAGCCGCCAGGGAGTCGACGACACTGCCCGAGAGCCTCGGACTGCGAAAGACTCGACGCGCGACTCGGAGAGGAGGAGGGAGGAGGAGGAGGAGGAGGAGGAGGAGGAGGAGGAGGAGGAGGCGAACGGGGGGGAGGAGGAGGAGGAGGAGGAGGAGGAGGGAGGAGGAGGAGGAGGAGGAGGAGGAGGAGGAGGAGCAGGAGGAGGAGGAGGAGGGGGTGCACTGGTGAAGGCACGGCGAACTGCTTGGCGAGCCAGTGCTCGAACATGCTGCTGTCTATCAGGCCCTGCGGCGCACGGCGGGGGCCGCCACTCCGAGCGACGCGCGGAGGGCATGCCTTCTCGAGGAGGGCGGATGCGGGAGGGGGGAGGTCGGGGGCAGAGGGGAGGCTCCTGCTCGTGCTCGTGCTCGTCCTCCTCCTCCTCCTCCTCCGCCTCCTCCTCCTCCTCCTCCGCTTCCTCCTCCTCCTCCTCCTCCTCCTCTCCTCAACTCCTCCTCCTCTCCTCCTCCTCCTCCTCCTCCTCCTCCTCCTCCTCCTCCTCCGCCTCCTCCTCCTCCTGCTCCTCCTCCTCATTCCCCTGCGCCCTCCCCGTCCGCCAAAGCACCGGCGCGGCGCGGGGGACGGAGAGGCGCGCGGGCAGGGGCGATGATGATGATGATGATGATGATGATGATGATGATGATGGAGGTGGTGGTGATGATGCTGGTGATGATGGTGATGATGATGATGATGATGATGATGATGATGATGATGATGATGATGATGATGATGATGACGATCCCCCATATGTGGCACATGGACTGATGCGAAGGCCGTGGCTGGTGGTGTATGGCCCAAAAGATCACTTGCAAGACTCGCTGGGCAGTGGTCACCTCTGCGTCTACTGCCCACCTTTCTCGCAAGCACATGTGTCATTGTTCTAATGTGTTTGGATCGGCAGGGCAACGATACTGTGCCTTCCGCTGAGCAAAAAGGCCCAATTCGATTTCGCTGAATAACGCCAGCGCCCATTTCCGGTGCCCGCATGTTTCGCCCACGCCGATTCCACTTTTGTAGCTGATGGTGTTCGGCTCCACGTTCGCCTGTTGCATCTTGCTCAACAACGAGAGCGCCTGTTGTCGTTGCATGCCCATCTTGCACGCGCCCATCCCAACGTTGTAGATGACGACGTCTGGCTCCAATATCGCCTCCCACATCTCGCCAAGCAAAGACAGAGCCAACTACCACTTCATACTGATTGCACACGCGCTGATCCCACCGATGAAGCTGATGGTATCTGGCCCCATCGTCGTTTCCCATATCTCGGAAAGCAGCGCCAGTGCACGCTGCCTCTGCTCGCCATTATTGCACCCGCTGAGCTGATCCCACAGTTGTAGCTGATGATGTCTGGCTCCACGCTCGCCTCCTGCATCTTGCCGAACTGCGACAACGCCTGCTGCCATGATCCAGCTGCCTCGCACGCGGCGATCATTGGGCTCCACCTTCGCCTCTCGCATCTCGTTGAACAGCGACAAAGCCTGCTGCCGCTGCCCGCTATTCCAGCACGCGCTGACGCCACAAGTGTCGCAGACGACGTCAAGCTCCAACTTCAGCCGCTGCATCTGCCCCATCACCGCCAACGCTTGCTGCCACTGCCCGCCTTGCAGCAACGGACGTCCAAGTTTAGCGTTGCTGTTAACATGTCGCCCAATATCGACAACGCCTGCTGCCACGGCCCGCCTACGCTGAACACGCGCTGATCACACTGGTGTAACTGATGATGTTTGGGCTCAGTTCAACCTCCCGCATCTCGCTAAGCAGCGGCACCGCGTGCTGCCACTGTCCACCTTTCTCACATGCGCTGATCGCAGCGCTGTAGCTGGTGACGTCTGGCTCCAACTTCGCCTCCCGCATCGTGCCCAGCAACGGCAATGCCTGCTGCCACCGCCCGCATTTTTCACAGGCGCTGATCGCGGCACTGGAGCATACAACGTCAAGCTGCGATCGCCTCGCTCTCTCTCTCTCTCTCTCTCTTGGTCGGCGTCCTCGCGCGGTTCACGCAGGCCCTCCGTACCGTTTCGGTGAGGGCGCGGGCGGGCGCGCCTCTGGGCGCCCGAGCGGCGGCGCGAGACGAGCTGCCCTGCCTGCAGCCAGTCGCGAACGGTGCGCGCCACGTGCGCCGCGCGGGTGCTGGAACAAAAAGGCCCAAACTCAAGGGGGCCCAGGACACACAAATAAATACACACAAATAAAAAGATTCCCCATATTTTCGCATATTTTCTGGGTTTTTGTATTCCCGCCCAATTCCCATATTTTCCCATATTTTCTTGGGGATCGACGATTAATTGTGTCTGTGTGTTTCTTTCCCTCCTGACAAACGCCAGCGCTCGCAGGCGCCCACCTCACCCACTCTGGCGCACGCCTCACGAGTTTCGTAGCCTCATGGGGAGCCCCACCCGAGGCCCAGATGCCGGTGCCTGCGTGCGACCACCGCGCCTATGTTGATACAAACCCTCACACGCTTCGTAGCCCCATCGGGAGCTCCACCGAAGGCCCACATGCCAGCGCTCGCATGCGCCCACCGCACCCATTTTGGCACACCCCTCACACGTTTCGTGGGCCCATAGGGCGATCCAGCGAACGCGGTGCATACAACGACGGTACCCACAACTGCATATGGTTGGGTCCTTCGCCAGGCTACGCAGATCTGACACGCTCGTACTGGATCCACTCCTCTTGCTCCCCCATGTCCTTGACGACTTGCTGCTGTGCTGGTGCGCCTGGCAAGCACCGCTACATCAGGTTCGTGTCGTGCCGACTTCGACGTTGGTTCTGACACCGCGAGGATAGTTCAACCCTGAACGATCGGCCGTGTCCCAAACGTTAGCTTGTTCAACATCGACCGACTCTGGGTCGCTGCCGGAGTTCAACAAAAAAACGCTGTCGGTCGACACGACGCGAACCTACCGCACCCACTGCATCACCACAGCGCTGCACCCGCGAAAGTCGTCGAGAGCACTCTATACTGGGGGGAAACAAACCTGCCTCGCTTCTGACCACCCTCGCTTCCAAGAGATACCAAACGATGCCAAACCACGGCCTGTACTGGTCTGGCCGCTTGACGAGGAGGCGCGTGGTATGACTCGGTTTAGCCTGGAAGCGAGAGCGGGGCAGGTAATTCACGCTCCGATATTGTACGTCCTCCTCCCTCCGCCCCGCACACGCCTCCTTTCCCCACCCGCTCCCACCTCGTGCCCCGCCGCCCCTCGCCCCCCGAGGCGCCAAGACGAGGCCAGGACCAAGACAACATCGGACGGGGCGACATGGGGCGCGGTCCTCTCTGAGCGTTTCTGGAACGCTCCGAGAGCGTCCTGGAACGCTCTGGAAGGATCTCATCCATGTCCCGGCCCCGCCCGACTTCCCCAAACCGAAGGAGAGGGGCGAGCTGGGTCTGTTCAGGCCGTTTCCTCGAAGGCGGCAGCCCCGTCGCACCCGGACCACTGCAGCAACCAGTCCCCAAGCGGCCACACCTGCAGTGCGAACCGAAGAGTTGCCAGGCGAGTCCGGAACGCCGGGCCAGCCGAGCTGCGACAGGCAAACTCGCGGAGTGCACCAATCAACCCTGGGGGCACCACAGGCCAGGGGCACCCTGCGACGGCACCCGAGCCGGGAGCGGCACGTGCCGAGGGCAGGCAGGCAGACCCGGGGGGCAGTGAGAGGCAGCCCCTGCGCCGCGAGTGCCCGGGCCCGCTCCCCCGCACGCGGCCAGTCCCCAGTGCCACACGGACCGCCGGCAACGGACCCTCCAGACGACCCCGGCGGGCCCGGGCGCCTCCGCAGACGTGCGGGGAGCCGAGGTCCCCAGGGGGCGGCCCGACCCGTGGGGGCGGCGGGCTCGTCGAGCCCAGCCCGTCGGGCAGCCACGGAAGCCCCGTCCCTTCTGCAGCATAGGTCGCCGACACGTCGGCGACGCACCGTCGACGTGGGCAATGCAGCGGCGACGTCGACGTGAGGCAAGCCGGGCTCCACATCGAGCCGCCTCGGCGATGCATCGGCGATGCGGCACGGCCCTCCGACCCCACCTGCTCGGACCCCGCCTGGGAGGCCCAGACTCCTGCTCCGCCCTCTTCCCGCCCGCCCTCCCCCCTCCCCCCCTGCCGGAGGAGGAGGAGGAGGAGGAGGAGGAGGAGGAGGAGGAGGAGGAGACGCGCCATCGGCAGGTTCGGGCTCACCCTCTATCTGGCCATCGCTCGGGCGTCCATTCCCTGTGTCTTTGTTCGGTGTCGTGCGTGGCTTTGGCTTTTTTTCGCCAAACGATCCAGGATGCTCCTCGATGGTCCTCGCCGAAAGGAAACATGCACACGTCCGAGCGATGCCAAGATAGAAGACCCCGGGGCAGCGGAGCGCGCGCGGCGGAGGAGGAGGAGGAGGAGGAGGAGGAGGAGGAGGAGGAGGAGGAGGAGGAGGAGGAGGAGGAGGAGGAGGAGGAGGAGGGGGAGGAGACGCGCCATCAGCAGGCTTGGGCTCACCCTATACACGCAAGACCCCGGGGGCAGCGGAGCGCGCGCGGCGGCGGCCGCGGGCGCCTCCTCGCGCGCGGTGGCCAGCGGCCGCTTGGCCAGGCGGCGAGCGGTCACCTGCCGCGCCCCCGGGGGGCAGCGCGCCGCCCCCTCGCCCGCGCGGCGCGGGGGCGGGAGGACCCCCCCGGGTTGGTGCCGACGCCCGGCCCTCCTCCTCCTCCTCCTCCTCCTCCTCCTCCTCCTCCTCTCCTCCTCCTCTCCCTCCTCCTCCTCCTCCTCTCCTCCCTCCTCCTCCTCCTCCTCCTCCCTCCTCCTCCTCCTCCTCCTCCTCCCTCCTCCCTCCTCCTCCTCCTCCCTCCTCCCTCCTCCCTCCTCCCTCCTCCCTCCTCCCTCCTCCCTCCACCTCACTTGAAGGGGCCCTGGGACACACAAAGCAATACGCACAAATAACAGGATCCCCCACATGTTCCTAGGTTTTCTGGGCTCCTGTCTTCCCCCCCGCTCCCCAGCTTCCCCATCTGTTCCGGGGAGTCGACGATGAATCGTGTCTGTGCGCTTCTTTCTCTCCTGATCACGCCCCGCCTCCCGCACAGTCCCCCCCTCGTGGAGCAGAGACCGACCGTCCCGGCATTCCTCTAGGCCTGCCACAACATGCTCCTAGAACCCAGAAGCGCTCTCAAGAACAAAAGCAGTGTCTTCAGAACACAAGCCCGATGTACCAAGCCCAGACAGTCTCCAAGAGAACATTTCGTGCAAACCACATCATGTGTCTGAAACAGTCTCTGGAGGGCCGATAGGCAGGACAGGACGGTTCGCCACTGCTTGACCCTCCCCCGTCTCAAGACGAGGCGGCCAGGACGAGGATATAATCGGAGGAGGGTAGATTCCCCGTCCGAGATCCCCCCTCCCTCAGCCGAGGGCGAAGCCGAGGCGAAGAGGAGCCCCGTCCGAATCTTCCCCCCCTAGGGGGCCACACGCGAACCCTACCCCTACCCCCCACGACTTCTTAGGGGGGGGGGGGGGGGCTCACTTCGCTCGGGAGCTCCCGAGCGAAGTGCACCCCACCCTCCCCCTCAGAAATCGTGGGGGGGCTCCCGAGCGCAGTGAGCCCCACCCTCCCCCTCAGAAATCGTGGGGGGTAGGGGTAGGGTTCGCACGTGGCCCCCTACCTCCCCCATCCGCCAGGGCCGCCCACGGCGACAGCACGGCCGCTCGGCGGCCAGAGCGACCGCGAGACCGAGGCCGGCCGCGAGGCCGCCCACGGCGAGGCCGCGAGGCCGCCCACGGCGAGGCCGCCCATCCGCCAGGGCCGCCCACGGCGACAGCACGGCCGCTCGGCGGCCAGAGCGACCGCGAGAGACCGAGGCCGGCCGAAGCCGCGCCGAGGCCGCTGTCGGGCTCCGAGGGCGCGGCGCGGCGCAGCGCCGCGGCGCGGCGCGGCGCTCGGCCGAGGCCCGCCCGACCGGGCACGGCGAGCGACCGCAGGGCGGCCGGGCCCGCCGCCCTGCCTGCCTCCAGGGCAGTTTTTACATGGGATGTTTGAAGATATAGGATTTTCCATGCAGTCGGGGCGTTGACCTAAGGAACCCCAAATAAGGGACGCCCCGTTTTTCCATAAACTGAACTTTGACTTCCTGTCGAAGACCTAAGGATAGCCTGAGGCGAGCTGCAAAACAATCAAGGAACACGGAGCCCCTCCCCAACGAGAAGGGTTCCTTCTTCAGGGCCCCGACTGCAGGATGCTTAAATCATGGGCTTTTCAATACATGATTGATGTATGAAAAAGTTCATGCACGAACTCATCGTCGTTTTTCCTACTAAATCCCTGCATTTTCAATACAGGATCCGCACGCGGAGCATGCATTAAAAACGGCACTGTCCGCTGCACCCGCCCACTGTGAACTCATCTCTCGGCGCGGCGCCCCTGCCGAGCAGTCGGTTGCCTGGAAGCGCGCTGCATCTCGTGTGCACTCCGGTTCCCCTCGCCGAGGCAGAGGCCCCCGTGGGTCGGAGGTGCCGAGCAGCACCTCTTGGGGATTTTGCCCCTGTTGCAAGACTCGTGGGAGCTCTCTCGTTCGAGAAGCGGGAACACTTCTGGTGAGATCCAACCCCAAGTTGAAAACATCCGCCAAGGCGCTTGCATCGGTTCGTGTCCGTCGGGCCCTCCTTGATTACTTCCCCTGCCCCCTGCGAAGTAATTATTACTCCAGCCTTCCCGACGCATCGAGCCCCACATGCGCTGACGTACTTGCTCGACCCACTCACAGCGTGTTGGGCTTAGGGCGCAGAAACCGGTGCTAAAACCAAAAGTTCGCACGGGGACGGTCTGTGGTCCAGAATCGCCGAGACGGCTCCAGCGAGCCTCGACACGGTTGCTGGCAACGTCCACGCGGTCCCCACAGAGGCCCAGACTGCCTCCAAGATGGCTCGCGATGCCTCCGAAAAGGGCGAATTAAATTTGACCACGGGAGACCATACGGGTAGAGAGATAAAACAGGGCTGGGATCGGGATAAATCGCTCCAGAGTGTTCCGGAGCGCTCTCAGAGCGTTCCGGAACGCTCTGGAGCGGCCGCGGCGCCCAATACATCCTCCAAACCCGCCGACTCTCAGAGATTTCGAGCTATCCCGATCCGATTTTGTCCCGATCTTCGCGTCATTTTAATACGGGTGAAGAGACCATACAAGAGACCCTATGGCAGACCGTACGGGAGACCGCACGGGAGACCATGCAAGAGACATACAGAAGACTAGACAGGAGACAACACGGCAGGCCACACGGGAGACCAAGCGGGAGGCCATACAGGGGAGCACACGAGAGACCACACGGGGAACCCTGCGGGAGACCACACCGGCCACCAAGCCTCTGACTCCAGGCCTGGAGGAGCTCAAGCCTCAGAAACGAACCTTCACGGATGAGCTGCTGAAGGAAAAAACAAGGCTGGCCGAACACGGCGCAAAGCAGCCCGAAAAGGATCCCAAGACAGCCCGAAGACGGCACCAGAGAGCCCTCAGGCAGACCCAAGAGGCCCCAGAAGCCACAAAGATGCAGAGACTATAAGAGGTCCAGATACACGGCCTCATGGGGTCCTGGGGAGTCGGTCCCACAGGCGGTGGACATGTGTAAACTCTGGTCTCGGACTTACCATTCCATGTCCTCTCCAGACACACACTCGAACTCAAAATTCGAACACTGCAACTCTACTCCCCCCCTCCTCTGTCCACCGTTCTGTTCAGCTCCTCCTGCATTATATTATTCGGCTCCTCTCCCCCCTCTCGCCCCGGCTCCTCTCTCCCCTCTCGCCCCTCTCCCTCCCTCTCCCCCCGCTCCCCCCCTCTCCCGACCCTCTCCCCTCCTATCCACGCCTCACTCCTCTCCCCAACTGTCCCCCTCTCCCCTCCTCTCGCCCCCTCCCCCTCCGCGTTTACACAATATGAATCAATATGAATCATACCCCCCCTCTCTCCGTTCCGACGCCGTTTTTTTACCGGTTCCGTCGCCGTTTTTTGACCGGTTCCGACTCCGGTTCCAATCTTGGAGCCGTTTTTTCGCCGTTTCCAGTGGCCGTTTTGTTGCCGTTTCCATTTTCAAGGGACATTTTTTCTGGAAACGGTGTTAAAAACGGCCCTGCCGTTTCCGGGGCCCACAGAGGCCTGGTCCCCATTTTAGGGTAGGGGCTCTGCCCCCGTCGTTCAGAATGGTGCTCCCGCCCCAGCGCAGGCCACATCACCGCTGTCGCCCCAACCCGTTCCCCGCCTCCGCCTTCTCCTTCCCCCCTGTCCTCCCGCTCCTCCCACTCCCTCCACTCGAGCTCCTGCTACTGCTGCTCTTAACGTCCTCGTCCCTGGGCAGGGAGTGGCGGGAAGGGCAGGACGTCAAGCATGGCGCGAGCGCACCCGGCTTGCCTCCCCCCCCCCCTCCCTCCTCTCTGAGTGTCTGTCCCCCCCCCGTCCCCGAAGGGGAAGGGGGGGGGCCCTCGGGGATCTTCTGCCCTGGGTCAATCCAGACCCGGGTCAGCAGGAAACCAAAAAACCGCAATGCAGGAACAAAAAACTGCAGCGCAGGTCTTCGCAAACCCGGTCAGCCAACAGGCGCGGCCGCCTCGCGGCCACGAGCGGCTCGCTGACCCGGGTCAGCCAGAGGGGGTCTTCGCAGGATCCTGCAGGGTCCGGTGCCCCGGCTGACCCCCGTTTGCATGGACCCCCGTCTCTCTTGAGCCCCGGGGCCCAGGGCAGGCGCCGGAGCCGGGCGCGGGCGCAGCAAGGCACGATAGCCCCTCGCGGGCACGCGCGCGCTCCTCCCGCACGCTCCCCGCGCGGGCGGGAGGGCGCGCAAGTGCGGGGGCCGAGCGTCTCTGGAGTCTCTCCCTGGTCACGCAGTGATAGATCAAGGACAGCACCAGCACCCATTTCTGACTGGGGGGTGCGCTTCCTGTGGGCTCGCTCCGCCTGGCCGAGCGCGTTGGGCCAGAGTGCCAGGCCTGCTCTAACCAGCCCCGAACGTATCCCTATCCCTAACATGGGCGAGCAAAAAGCGAGGACAATGGTAGGGATAGGCCCTCAGAAACTAAGGGAATCCTCAAGATCGGCATCGAGGCGAGGCGATGTCAAACATAGGGATAGGGATACGTTTCAAACTGGTAATGCTCCTCTTGAGACACTCACGTCCCACGGCGCGACGGAAGGGGGCATGTGGAGCACTGGCGCAGCACGGCGCGCAGAGGAGGAGGAGGAGGAGGAGGAGGAGGAGGAAGAATGGGAGGAGGAGGAGCTCTCGCTCTCCCCGTCCGGCTGCGAAGGCCGCTCTGGGAGAGGCCCCGCGTGGCCTGGGAGCCTGCCCTGCGAGAATTCCGGCCGCACGTCTTGGCCCGTCTTAGAAGGAGCCGAGCATCCAGCAGCGGATGCGACGACGGAAAGTCTGGAGCGGCCAAGAGGGGGGTGTCCAAGATGAGGGGGGGTGCAAATCATGACCGGCGGCATGTGCGCGGCCCAGCGGGGGGGCCAGGGACGTAATGAAGTAAGAAGAGGCGCCACGAAATCTGGGGAGATATCATGGCCCCCGCCATGATATCCCCCCCCCCTAGTCATCACCCCCCTCTTTTCCGCCCCCGGGAAAGGGGAGGGGGAAGGGGAGGAGGAGCAGGATCGGACCCCATCGGATCGACTTGGACGCGCCGCCACACACTCGCGGTCGGCGGCAGGCAACCGAGGCACCCGGCGCAACGCCTCGTCTGGCGCCACACGGGGCCGCCACTCCCTCGCCTGGCATCCTCGGCCTCCGCCTGTCGGGCTGGGCGAAAAGGGGGGGGATAGCAAAGGGGGGGGGGGGAGAATCACCTCACGTAGCTGACTTTCCCGGCGCCTCCCGGCGCCGGAGGCGGCCGTGTATCGAGGAATGGGCCCCTCGGTGGGGCCGAAACCAGCTGCATGCAGCAGATTTCGTACCCCCCCCGTTCCCTACCCCCCCCCTGTCGCCCGGCCCGAGCCTGGCACCCCCCGCCTCCGAGGAGCCCAAAAGGGAGGGCAGCGGGCGCGTGGGGGCGGCGAGAGCGGCCCCCTCCCCCACCGCGTTGCGGCCGCGCCGCGCGGCCACGTGCGGCTGGAAGGTCGGCTCCTGCGGGGCGCCCCTCCCCCGCCCGCCACCAGCGACGGGGCCGGCACTCCCCGCCCGCCACTGTTCAAGGGGCCCAGAGACAGCCAAAGAAATAGACACAAATAACAGGATTCCGCATAGCTTCCCATATGTTCTGGGTTTTCGTCTTCCCCCCCCCCCCGGGCCCTGCTCCCGGCCATCCTTCCCGCGCCACTTCCCCCGTCCCTCCCCCTCCTTCTCCATCCGCTGCCGCGCCGCCAGAGAGGGTGCGCCGCTGCGACCTCGAGAGAGACTGCAGGATCACAGTTTCGACTGCTTCTCCCTTCCCCGTGCCCTCTTCCTCCATCAACCTCCCTTCCCTCCTCCTCCTCCTCCTCCTCCTCCTCCTCCTCCTCCTCCTCCTCCTTCTCTGCTTCCCCCGCCTCATCCTCATCCCTCCATCTATCTACTCTTCCGTCTACGCCCCTTCATTCCTCCTCCTTTTCAGCCTCCTCCGCCTCCTGTTCCATTGCCTCTTTTGTATTGCGCGGCACTTGGCAACGCGTGGAACTCCAACAAACGCCATCGAATTCATTTCTGTGTTCTCGTGGTCATGCTACTGCGCACTACGGTCTGCACTCGCTCTTGTCTGCTCCTCGCTCAGATCATTGTCACGACACGACCGTTCTACTCAATCGTCACATGGCTCGACTGCCTCGCGTGCATGCTCATTCGCATTGCCGCTTGGGAGTCAAATCTCTCCCGCTCCGCTTCCTCCCTCTCTGCCGCGTGGGGTGTTAGCCAAGCCCCCATCCCGCTGCGAGCCGCGGCGCCGCCCGAAAGCCGCGCACGAGAGGTGTCGCTCCGGCGGAGGGTGACTCCTGCGTGCAGCCACGCTCTCCGGCGTCATCCCAGCCCCTCCCAGCCTCGACGACACCCTTAGGGGGCCACGTGCGAACCCTACCCCTACCCCCCCCTCAGAAATCGTGGGGGGTAGGGGTAGGGTTCGCACGTGGCCCCCGACACCCTGTCCGACGAGGTCGGCGGGACAAGCGGCGAGGCCTACGACGCCCGGAAGGGGGGGAGATGAGCCCACGACGCCCGGACCGCGCAGCCTGTAGGCACGAGGGAGACGCGCCTCGACGGCAAGAGATCCGGGGGCCCTGGGGCTTTGCCAAGGGACCGCTTTTACCTCTATAGGTCGGGCGCGTCCTCCTACCAGCGGATTGGCACAAGACTGCCCAAGAGAAAGCCAAGAGGCCCCCTAAGCGGTCCAAGAGGGCCCCGACTCGCCGAAACATCGCTCCAAACCGCCCAAGATGCCCCCAAGACGGCTCCAGAAGCCTCCAAGACAAGACGTCCCCAGGATCCCCATCATAATCTCGCTCTCACCCCCACCGGATCGGCGGCGGCACTGGCCGGAGGCCAGCCCAATAAAAAGTAGTCGAAAAATTGTCCCCATATTATTTGTGGACTATGTGTGCACATTCCTCCTGCAGAGGGGCATGCCCGACTTCCCCCGCGTCGCCTTCTGACGGCCCCCGCGCCCCCCAGGGAGGCCGGGAGCGGCGAAGAGGCCGCGCGAGGCCGCTCGCGCATCCACTGGGGGCAACACGTGTTGCCCGCCGGGGGTGGGGGTTCGGCGGGGGGGGGGGACTAAGGGAACCCACAAAGGACGTACGCGCCCTGCTATGTACATGAACACGGCCCCTCGATCTGCGAGACCGGCCGCGTGATACGAACTCTCGGGCAATGCGTACCGGGAGCGGCGGCCTGCGTGCACCCCCGAAGGCGCGCCCGCAGCTGCACGGGTTCACGCCGATGGCCGGTTCCCAGGCGTTGCCGTTACTGGGGGGGAGGTCCGGGGGGGGGGGGGGGGAGTTGATAAAACCGTGTGTGCGTACCACCTCGTTTTGCTGCGTTGCATCGCCATCACCAGCATCATCATCATCCTTGTAATCAATTTGTAATCCGCCACAAAAGAAATCCATTCCAAATCCGCCACAAAAGGAATCAATTTGAAACCCGCCACAAACACAATTGATTTGTAATTCGCAACAAAAGGGATCTATTTGTAATCCGACACAAAAGGACTCACTGTATATTTTGCCACAAAAGGAATCAATTCGTAATCCGCCACAAAAGAAAACTTTCTGTAGGGAGGGGGTGTAAATGGTGGGTCAATCGCTACTAGGATTCTATGAGAGGTGGATCCATCTCTCATCGGATTCTATTGAAGGTGGAAATATCTGGAATGGGATGGTTTTAGAGGTGGATCCATCGCTAATAGGACCCCACTAGAGGTGGATCCATCTCATATAGGATTCAATTACAGGTGAATCCATGTCTAATCGGATCCCATTATAGGTGGACCCATCTCTAATAATATTCAAGTAGAGGTGGATCCATATGTAATAGGATTTTGTTAGAGGTGAATCCATGTGTAGCAGGATTATATGAAAAGGTGGACCCATCTCTGTTCGGATTCGATTTGGAGCGGATCGATCTGTAATAGACTGTCAGTTGAGATGGGCCCATCTCTCATATGATTCCATCAATTGTGGATCCAGCTGTAGCCGGATTCCATTAGAGATGGATCCATCTGTACCAGGATTCTAGTAGATGTGGATCCATCTGTAATAGGATTCCATCAGAGGTGGACCCATCTGTATCAGGATTCTGGTAGGATTGAATTGGGGGTGGACCCGTTTGTATTACGATCCTATTAGAGGTAGATCCATATGTAATAGTATTCTATTAGAGGTGGATTCATGTCATGTAGGACCCCATCAGAGGTAGGTGGACCCATCCCTAATAGGATTCTCTCAGAAGTGGACCCATATGTAATAGGATTATATTAGAGGTGGGTCCATCTGTCATAGGGTTATGTTAGAGATGGATCCATCCGCGCTAGGATTCCATTAGATCCATCTCTAATCAGATACTACTAGACGTGGGTCCATCCTTAATAGGATCCCATTCGAGGTGGATCCATTTGTCACAGGATTCTGTTAGAGGTGGACCAATCTCTAATAGCATGCCATTGGGGATGGAACCATCTTATTAGGATTATATTAGAGGTGGATCCATATGTAATTGGAGTCCATTAGAGGTGTATACATGTCAAATTTGGTTTTATCAGAGGTGGATCCATCGTTAATAGAATTATATTCGAGGTGGACGCATATGTAATGGGGTTCTATCAGACGTGGGTTCATTTGTAAAAGGATTATATTAGAGGTGGGTCCATCCGTACCAGGATTCCATTCGAGGTGGATCCATCTCTGATGTGATGCCATTAGTTGTGGCCCCATCTCTAATGGGATTCTACTAGAGGCGGATCGATGTGTCATAAGATTATATTTAAGGTGGTTCCATCTGTAGTGGGATCTTATCAGGGGTGGATCTCCATTCCTAATCGGATTCTATGGAAGGTGGATCCATATGTAATAGGATTCTCTGGGAAGTGGATCCATCTGTAGTACGATTATATGAGAGGTGGGTGTCTTTTGTGGTGACGATGATGATGATGACGAGCATGTGTTTCAAGATGCTGCTGACGATGATGATGATGACGAGCATGTGTTTCAAGATGTTGCTGATGATGATGGTGATGACGAGCATGTGTTTCAATGCGCTGCTGATGACGATGGTGATGACGAGCATGTGTTTCAATATGCTGCTGATGACGATGGTGTTGACGAGCATGTGTTTCAAGATGGCTGCTGATGACGATGGTGCTGACCACCATGTGTTTCAAGATGCTGCTGATGACGATGATGATGATGATGACGAGTATGTGTCTCAAGATGCTGCCCATGACGATGGTAACGACGAGCATGTGTTTCAATCTGCTGCTGATGACGATCATGATGATGAGTATGTGTTTCAAGATTCTGCTGATGACGATGGTGATGACGACCATGCGTTTCAAGATGTTGCTGATGATGATGGTGATGACGAGATGCGTTGGGAGCAATGCGTTGTCATAATGAGTTCCACAGAGCATAATCGAGTGGGAAGCACAGCCCACCAGACTAAAGTTATCCTCTCTTTACCCTTCTTCCTCCTCCTCCTCCTCCGCCTCCACCGCCGTTTCTTCCTCCTCACCCGTCTTACTTCCAGTGGGTGGGCGCCGAAGCGCGTTCCAGAGAGATTAATAAGCCTTAATATCTCGATTCTCCGGCCTCCGGAGGCCCGAAACAAACAATATTAGCGGATTACAAATTGATTTCTTTTGTTGTTGAATTACAAAAGGGAATCCTTTGGTGGTGAACTACACATTGTTTTATTTTGTGGCAGATTACAAAAGGATTCCTTTTGTGGAGAATTACAAAAGGACTTCTTTTGTGGAGGATCACATGATGATTCTTTTTTGTGGCGGATTACAAAAGGATTCCTTTTGTGGAGGATTACAAAAGGATTCCTTTTGTGGAGGATTACAAAGGGATTCCCCTTGATGGAGGAATACAATGGGATTCCTTTTGTGGAGATTACAAAAGGATTCTTTTGGAGGATTACAAAGGGATTCCCCTTGATGGAGGAATGCAATGGGATTCCTTTTGTGGAGGATTACAAATTGATTTCCTTTGAGGGCTCTCCTGGAAGTGAACCAGGGGACAAAAGAGACAAAAAAAAAAAAAAAAAAAAAATCATTGAAAATTGAAAAAATTGTAAGTTTTCAATGAATTTCCAATGTTTTGAAGCACAAACATATAAAAAACACAGCATTTCCAAGGTTTTGAGGCCCAAACCATATGAAAACACAGCATTTTTGTATTCGGATTGTGAAAATGCTGTGTTTTTATATGTTTTTGTTTCAAAACAGTGGAAAATCATTGAAAACCTGCAATTTTCTGAATTTTCAATGATTTTCTGTTTTTTTTTTTTCTTTTGTCCCCTGGTTCACCTCCAGGAGAGCCCTCAAAGGAAATCAATTTGTAATCCTCCACAAAAGGAATCCCATTGTATTCCTCCACCAAGGGGAATCCCTTTGTAATCCTCCACAAAACGAATCCTTTTGCAATCCTCCACAAAAGGAATCCTTTTGTAATCCGCCACAAAAGGAAACAATTTGCAATTCACCATGAACAGAATTCCCTTTTAAATCCCCACAAAAGAATTCAATTTAAAATCTGCTACAACAGGAATCGTTCTGCATTCCACTACTTTGAGCAATCCCTTTAAAGATGACGAAAAGCATAATCAACAGGAAAGCAAGCAAATGAGAAGTAATAGACCAAAAACCGAGGTGGTACACACACACACACACGGTTTTATTAACCTTACGGGGGGGGGGGCAGCGCGTGTGACACATGCTGTCCCCGCAGCCCAGAAAAGAACAATATCTGCCCGTTGGCCCCCAAGAGGCCCCCCAGAGGCCCCCGAGGGGAGGCCCCAAGGCTGCCCTCAAGAGGGCCCCGAGCGCACTTCGAAGAGATCCCAAGAGAATCACCCCTGAGAAGTCTGACTCACAGCTAAGGCATGGTGGCTGGATGGGCCGAAGGCGATTAGATATCCGCCCCTTTCCTTTGAGGGCCCCCTTTGAGACGAAGCCAAACGAGGATAAATTCTGGTGGGGATGAATCCCGAACCTCTGAGATCTGGCGGCTCTGGACGATAGGTCGGGCGCCGCGGCCTTCTCAGAACGATCCGGAAAGCTCCGAGAGCGTCCTGGAACGCTCCGAGGAGACCCCAAGAGAATCACCCCTGAGAAGTCTGACTCACAGCCAAGGCGTGGTGGCTGGATGGGCCGAAGGCGCTCTGGAACGCTCTGGAACGGATTCGTCCTCGTCCTGGCCCCGCCCGACCTCTCCCTCGCGGTGGCTGGGCCGCGAGAGCCCGGGAGCCTCCCCCGAGGTGCCAGTGGGAGGGCCTCGCCCCTCCCGCGGCCGCCGCCCCCAAGGGAAAGGGCAGGGAAGGGAGGGGGGGCAGGTGGTGGAGAGGAGGGGGGCACGAAAGGAGGAGAGGACAGGAAGGCAATGGAGGAGATGGAGGAGATGGAGGAGATGGAGGAGATGGAGGAGAAGAGATGGAGGAGATGGAGGAGATGGAGATGGAGATGGAGGAGATGGAGGAGATGGAGGAGATGGAGGAGATGGAGGAGAGGATGGGTGGCCTCCCCCCGTCCTCCCCCCCGCCCTCGGGCAAGGTACCCCGGTGGCGTCCTGGGGGTGCCCCGCGCTCGCGCTGGCCGGGCGGCCGGCTCGGCGGCCCGCGCGCGGGCGCGGACTGGGCACCGCAGAGGCGGCTGCGAGGGAGGAGGGAGGGGACGGGGAAGGAGGAAGAGGGTCGGCCCGCGGAAGGGGGTGCGGTCGTGGCCGGAGACACGTCGTGACCCGTGAGGCCGAAGGTCGTTGAGGTGGAGGAAGGTCCACAGGAGACCTTCCACCAGAAACCCAACCCTGAGACCCCAGGACGTCCATGCACGTGTTTGGCGTGGGGGCGTCACGCTTTCCATGGCCAAAGCACCCAAACCCAGGAAACCCAGGGCACCCTGGAGGCAAGCCAGGTGTTTCTTGGCATGGGTCTCCACTGTACCTCCCCGTGAGGCGACCCCTTCGATCAGGGCGAGCCTGCCGGGGGCGAAGTTGGCCCAGGGCAACAACGTGGCCGACAGAGTCGGAGGCTGACAGGTTGCCGGACGCCTCAAGGCGGGAGCAGGACGCAGAGGGCAGAAAATCCACCCCGGTGATAACCACCCCGACACGCGAAGCCGTTCAGTCAACGCACCTACAGAAGAAATCAAGCAGTGCAGGGCTGTCTCATAAACGCCCAGGGCCGTCCAGCAAACGACGATTGTCGGGTCTGGGTGGCTCTTCCTCCCTGGAGGAAGAAGGGAGGGGGTATGACTACCTACCAGACCACCCCAACCCAACCCGAAGACCCGAATTTGACCCGAATTTCGGGTTGGGGGGGGTACGGATTCCATGTGTTTTGTTCAACGTTCCCTGACCCCCCCCACACTGGAAATGGAGGGCAAATTGAGGGCTTCGGGTTGGGGATTGGGGTGGTCTGGTGGGTGGCGGGGGTACAGTCGGGGCCCTGAAGAAGGAACCCTTCTCGTTGGGGAGGGGCTCCGCGTTCCTCAAGTGTGTCGCGGCTTGCCTCGGGTGTTCCTCATGCTTTCTCGATCGGAAGTCGAAGTTTGACTTCTGGAGAAAGGGGCCTCGTCCCTCATTTTGGGCTCCTTAGGGTCAAGGCCCCGACTGCAGGAAGGCGCCCGAAGAGAGCAGCGGGGGGGGGGGGGCGGGGGCCGACGAGGGGGCCGCGGGGCCGGCGGGTGCGGACGCGGGCTCCCGCGCCGCGCGGCGGCTCCTGCGGGAGGCTCCGGTCGAAGGCCCGCTTGGCCGTGTTGAGCTGCATCAGCACGCGGGACTGCCGGGGGGACCGGGGAGGCGCACGGGGAGCGGGGGGGACCTCGTCGTCGTCGTCCTCGTCCTTCTCCCGAAGAATGAGAGGAGGGGAAGGGGACGGGGAATGTCGAAGGCTCTCTTGGCCGTCCTGAGCTGCATCAGCACTCGGGACTGTCGGGGTGACCGGGGAGGCCCACGGGGGCGGGGGGGACCTCGTCGCCGTCGTCGTCGTCGTCGTCGTCGTCGTCGTCGTCGTCGTCGTCGTCGTCGTCCTCGTCCCTCGTCGTCGGCGTCGTCCTCGTCCTTCGTCGTCGTCCACGGGGCGGGGGCGAGACCTCGTCGTCGTCGTCCTCGTCCTCCTCCCGAAGACATGGGGGGGGGGACGGGGGAGGGGGCGGGGGAGCAAAGAGGGAGGGGGCAGGCGGGGCAGATCGGGGGAGGGGGGGCACTGGAATTGCGTGCGTGTTGGCAGGCAGCGCGCCGCTGGGAGAGACGGGGGGAGCGGCGAGCAGCGGGGGCCCAGCAGATGCCAGGGCGGTTGCGCACGCAAGGCTCTGAGACAGCGGAGAGGCTCCCTGTGTGATTCTGCGGGCGGCTGTGCCGTGTCGCGCAGGTTCAGCTCGAACAGGAAGCGCAAGGGTCCGCACTCGAACCCTGCAAGGTGGCCCTTCTTCTTCTTCTGCCAGCGTGTGTGCGGAACCGCGCGCCAGTAACGCCCTCGAGTGCTCGGCCATATCCGCAAGGGTGCCCGAGGCACGGGGCGGAGTGTTCTCGGACGCCCTGGAGCCCTCCAGCTTGCGACAGATGAGTCGCTGCCGTTGCTGAGCTCAAGAACCAGCACTTCCAATCGCCCTTTGGGCGTTTCTGGGCCCGCCCGGGCGCTCCCGGGGCGCGCGCGTGGCTTCCCCCCCAGGCCCACAGCGCGGGAGCCGGATGCCGTGCCGCGAAAACGGCGTCCCGGGGGCCCGTCGCGTCTCTTCGAGCCCTCGGCCGCGTGTGGGGGGGGCTCGGAGGGTCTGCGCAAGAATCGCCATCGCTCGGACGTCCATGTTTTGTGTTTTTCTCGGTTTCGTGCGCGGTTTTTCGCCAAATGGTCAAGGATGCTCCTCGATGGTCCTCGCCGAGGAAAAAAAGCACACGTCCGAGCGATGCCAGGAAGATGCCGAAGCCATTGATGGAAACATGGAAGCCAGTGTGCGTCCAGCTCCCAGCGGAAGCGACCAGTGAGGGTGCTCTGGCCACCTGTTGGTGACAGGTGCGCCTGCCTTCCGTTGGGGGCAGGGCCTCGGACCTCGATTACCTTCTGAAGTTGTTCGAGGGCATCTGCCTGAGTGGATGTCTTCTGGTGGTTGCTGCTGGTTCTGGTTCAAGAGTGGCTGGTTGGTGATGGCGTACCTACAATTTATATAGGTGGCGATGGTCACGTTGCATTTTTGTATCACCGAGGACGTGTCCGAGGTGAAGTACCCCAGTCTGCGTGTGGGAAGAAGCGTTTCCTGGTGTGTTCGTATACTTGCCTCTTCGGTCTGAAGAATGCCCAAGACGGCCCTGGAATGCGGAGACTGCCCCGGTGTGCCAGACATCCAGAGCCAGGCTGGCGGCACTTGTGTGTGTGATGGGATCCTGCGCGCATGGAGGCCACTCTGCTCAGGATCGCTCCCAGCTCTTCTGGTGAATGGCAGATGCGGGATCGAGTGTCGCCTCTGGTTTGCGATACCTCTACCAGTCTAACTACCTGTCGCCCTCACTGCGTCCGTCACACTTTGGCGGCGCGCAGAGAGGGTAGGGTGAGGGGGGGAAGGCTTCTGGGGAGGCTGCTTCTTAGGAGGCACCAGCCTTACATCTGCAGACAAGGCCCGCGCCCTCTCGGAAGCAGCCTCCTTCAAAGAAGCCGTCCCCACTCTCCCTGCCCCCTCTGCGCGTGGCTGATGACTGCCTGCCGCCCTCACTGCTACCCGTCGGTCGGCAGAAATGGGCAGAGACATGCAGTAGGAGGGCGTTGGCAGTAGATCGGGCGCCCGCCCGCCCCCGGAAGAGGAGGGGCGAGGGAGCGCCCCTCGACTCCCACAGCAGGAAGGCGCCCCAGGTAGACTGCGACCTGGGCACCCAGAAAGACCCGCTGTCCACAACCGTGGGGAAAAAAACATACAAAACACACAAAACACACACACACGCACACAACAAGAAAAACACCCCTTACACACAGTGCTTGTGGGGAAACACACAGAATGTGTGTTTGTGTGTGTTTTCCCCCAGTGTGCGTTTTTTGTGTGTGTGTGTGCGCTTTTTCCCGCGGGCACTCGTCACGCCGGCGCTGCGGCGCGGGCGGCGCCTCGCTGCCGCTCCTGAGCGGGGCGCCCCCGCCCCCGCCCGAGGCACGTCCTGGGCGCCCGGGCGGCCCGGCGCCTCCCTCCGGCGCCCCCCGGCGCGCCACGCCCGCGGCGAGCGCGGGGAGGGGGGCCGCTCGGAGGCCGCCCGGCCCTCCGAGCAGTCTGCTGCCCTCGGGGAGGGCCTGGAGAAAACGAGGAGGGGGCTGCTGGGAGGCCGCCCGGCCCTCCGCGAGGTCTTCCGTCTTCGGGGAGGGCCCGGGAAAACGAGGAGGGGGCTGCTCGGAGGCCGCCCGGCCCTCCGCGAGGTCTTCTGCCTGCGGGGAGGGCCCCTGGAGAACTGCTCGGGGGGCAGGGGGACTTCCGAGCCTGCTGGGAAGGCCCGCCCCTTCTCGCTGCTCCCCCGGGCTCGCCGCCGATCACAGATGACCAAGATTCGGAGGCGAGCCCGGAGGGGAAGTCGGAGGGGTGACCCCTCTCGGAAGTTTCCTAAGCCCTGAGCCTTCTCCGAAGACGTATAGATAGTCAACCAGTATAATAAGGATGCGCGGTGAGGATGCAAGGGCCTTGGAGGGACATGTCAACGTTGTTCGAACGAGGTTGGCCAGCGAGAGTCGCTAAGAATAGGCCGAAGGGGCAAGGATGCAAGGGCGGCCTTGGAAAATTGCTCATCCTTCTCAGAAAACCGGAGGGCTTCTGAGAAGTCCCGCCGCCTCCCGAGAAGGCCTGCCCCTTTTCACTTCCCCACGGGACGCGCGGCAGAAAGATGGTTTCCAATACGGCCCATGCAAACCACCAAGATGGCCTCACATGGCCCGCGGATGGCTCAAGATGGCCTCGAGGCGGCACAAGAGGCTCACCAGACGGCCCCCAAAGCTCAAGACGCAGTCCAGTGTATGCAACGCGTCTCGAGAGCTCTTAGCCCCTCTCGTCAGGCATCGGCCCGAATAGCTGCTGCGCGACGCACGCACACTTCGGGAGCGGCCAAGAGGGGGGTGTCCAAGAGGGGGGGTGCAAATCATGACCGGCGGCATGTGCGCGGCCCAGCGGGGGGGCAAGGGACGTAATAAAATAAGAAGAGGCGCCATGAAATCTGAGGAAATATCATGGCCCCCGCCATGATATCCACCCCCCCCTAGTCGTCTCCCCCCCTTTTCCGCCCCCGAACACTGCACGAAGAGGGCTTCCAAGCGGATCGCCAATCGGACCGGTCTACAAACAACAAATCGTTTCCTCCTCCTCCTCCTCCTCCTCCTCTTCCTCCTCCTCCTCCTCCTCCTCCTCCTCCTCCTCCTCCTCCTCCTCCTCCTGCATTCCCCCCGTTTCGGCCTTCCGCCAGCTCAGGGCGGCACCGACGGCCTCCGAGATGGCTCCCAGACGGCCTCACGAGGGCCCCGAGACGGGCCAGGACGGCCCCAGAGATCCCAAAGCCAGCCCGGGACGGCCCCCAAAGAGACCCAAGACGGCCTCAGAGGGCCCCTCGACGGCCCAAAACGACCCCAAGACGACCCCGCGACGGCCCCAAGAGACCCCGAGACCCTAGACTGCCAAAAGGGGGCACCAAGACGGCCCACGACAACCCAAGGGCGGCCCAAGAGAGCCACAAGACGGCCCAAGAGGGCCCCAAGAACCCCCAAGACTGCCTCACGGGAGCCCAAGACAGCCTCGAGACGGCCCAAATGAGCCCCATCATAGCTCCTCACGAAGTGGGGACGAAAGGTGTCAAACGTCACCCCCTCCCGTATCACCTCGAACAAAAGCCACTCAGAATGTTGGACTGGCACAAAAGGCGCGATTTGCCGCAAGACGTCTATTCATCTACCGATATCGATGTATCAAGCTACGTGCCCCAGGCACGGTTAGGCCTGGTTGAAGACTGTCTGGTCGGGTCCCTGTGATTTGAGCAGCCGCCACACCCATCTTCTCGAGCTCGTTGCATGCACCGCAAAATTACCCTGTGACGTACCCGACCCATTTTGTATCAATGGAAACGAGGGGTTGGCCGAAACTTGCATGGACAATCAACTTGATGTGTAAGCTACTTGGGACACGCGCCTATGGCATGATGCGCAGGAGAACCATACAAGAACGAGGGGCGACAGCTACAAGCTCGAAGAGGACATGGGGAGTCGGGAACGCAGAGCAGGAGAAAAACGTGCGGGAAGCCGAACCATCAGCACGGCAGCAGCAGAGGGAAGGTGACTGCAGGAGGAGAACAAGGACGAACGCGGCGTCTAATTTGAGTCTGCGGTGGGTGCCCACTGTGCTGTGCCCCTCAGCAGCCCTCGAACGTGGCGACAGTTTCAAAGATCGCAGCCCCCCAGGGATGGCGAGGTCTAATTTGAGTCTGCGGTGGGTACCCACTGCGCTGTGCCCCCCAGCAGCCCTCGAAAGTGGCGACAGTTTCACAGATCGCAGCCCCCCAGGGATGGCGAGGTCGAATTTGATTCTGCGGTGGGTCCCCACTGTGCTGGGCCCCTCAGCAGCCCTCGAAAGTGGCGACCGTTTCACAGATCGCAGCCCCCCATGGATGGCGAGGTCTAATCTGAGTCCCCGTAAAACGTCACTCCGCTGCCCCCACCCCCCCCCCAACAGCCCTCGAAAGTGGCGACAGTTTCACGGATCGCAACCCCCCAGCGATGGCGAGGTCTAATCTGAGTCCCCGTAAGACGTCAGTGTGTTGGGCCCCCCAGCA